AATACTATCTAGAGTAGGATCTGCCTCATCTGAAATGGCAGCTACTTTGTTCAGGTAGCCAAGGATGCGCTCAAGATAGCCCAGTTGCCCGATCCACGGGAGCTCGTTACGTGGCAAGATGCACACTCGGGAGTGTTGTTCCCAACTATGGGATGCGTAGAAATAAACACTGATGAACAATGCTGGTCCACGAGTAAGGCGTCCATAAATATGTAGTCGAGACGAGTAACAAGATATATTGGTCCGCTAAAGACATTATCGTCGGGGTAATGCCTACGCCAACCATTATTCCTACTAAGGCAAGTCTACCATTAATCATAATTTTGTCGGAAGCACTGCCACGCATGTCACCTGACCGGATATCAACAGAAATGTCGAGGAGAAAATAAGGTAATCGTGTCATGCTACCTGCAAATTTTATATAGCACTGGCCAGCAATAACCGTTAAGATTTCCCACTTCTTTAAGATGCCGCATGGCCAATATTCATTGTTAATTAAATAAGTGATAGTACCGACTTGTGTGACAATGACGTGATCCTGCCTGAAATCACGATTGAAATGGAATGGGCAGAATAAGATCCCAAAACTTAAAAGAAAGTCAATTCATCACTCCCGTGCGAGTGTGAGTAATCGTCGGTAGGTCGAATAAATGAAAATAGAATAAGAACAGCGGTAGTGACACTGCCAGGAAACATGGCACAAAAAATTTGGTGCGATGTGTTTTGTCGTGGAAATTTGTCTCCTTGGAACACACCAAACCGAACGACATGGCGAGAGACTCAACGGTCAGGTCGCCATTGCACTTGATGCCTTTGATGTTAGCTGTAATCATCCTGCTGTAGAACTAAGATTTTGTCACCCTAGCACTCCATCATATACGCGGTACGTCGCAATATGACTGAATGCAGGGGGTACGTGGCAACTTGCATACCATCTGTCGTTAACACGAGGTGGGATGTATTGTTCTCAGCATCAATATAGGTACTTGAATTTCGAAAGCTGACACGATAGATGAGATTTGGCCTAGTACACTTAAAACGAATACAGCGGTCTACAATACGGTCGCCAAGTGAGGATTCAAGAAGAGACTGAAGCACGTCGATCGAACGCAGTCGTAGTGTGACAGCCTCGATCCAGTCAATAGGGCGCCGCAATAAAGTGAAAGCAATTCATCGCCGCACATGATCGTCGTGGTAGACGCAACGAGACGAATCTCGAAGAATGCCAGAGCATGGGAGATGGCGACCAGGTCAGGGTGGTCGTTTTCGTACAAGTGGCAGAGTGCACGCGAAGCTCGCAAAAGAGTCAGACGGTAATTCGGGTCTAAAAATCGCGCTCACCGAAAAAATACGTGAAAAATCGGACTTGGCAGCCTGGACGAGACGTTGAGTCAGATAAGGTCGATGAACTCCAAAGTTGTCTACGTCTAGTATCGGTGTGCATCAAATCTAAAAAATTGTTCCGGATGAATTGAGGCCCGTCTACGATTGTCTCGAGAAGGGTGTTTGGATCGATGGTAGAGCTGAAGGATCGGTGTACTGTGGTTATGCATGTCATGGTGACAGGCAGAGGTAGAGCCTCTTCACGAGAAGCTACCGAATCATGTCCTACGGGCAACAATGCCGTCGGTGTGCACAATCTTGTGGCTGCATTATGCACAGCAGATGCAGGAGACTGTATGCGTGTAGTCACGGTCTATTGATTGTTGGCAGAGTAGTCACCTTTTAAGAGTAGATTCGTAGACATCAAGCTAATCATCAAGATCAACCAGGACATCTTCGAGATTGGATGTACAAGACAACTATTTGAACGCCTCTTTCACCCGGCCATAGTGGCGCTAATGGTGTCGGGTAAGTTGGAACTCGGTTGCCATATGATTTAAGTTCGAAGGCGGATACAGAGCTATTTGGGGCGCTATATATCTAAAAATCCCCCAGACGCTAAAATTATGTTCGCTGGTAGGTCTACGAGGCTGCTGGCTCCAGGTTTGGTACAAGAAGTACCACTCGACGCATCATAGAATCTGTCGGCCGATGTTAATCAGTTTGGTTCTTAGTCTTCGAACCGACTGCGTCACCGATTGACCGCCGTCCTGCTACCCTGCATACAAGGAGTGTAAGGTACAGTGCGATCCGTGACCCGATGATAGGGCGCTTGAAGGCGTATGTTTAGAGTACTGTGGTGACGAAAGGAGTTTGCGGACCCCCCCCTGAAAGAAAATGATCGAGTGACACACCGGTAACGTCGAGACAAGGTGGTCGCGAGCTATAGCGGAGACATATATAAACCTGACCCGCCTGAGTGCAGAACCGAACTAGCAACCCAGGCAAACAAAGTAGAGGAGTGAGGCACCTCATAAACGCAGAATTTTAAAGAATTCTTCCGTATGAACGCTAACAGGTCGATGTAGTGGCAAGTGTTCAGGACAAAGCACCTTTAAATGCGACCTGGTGATCAAAGGTGTATATCAGTTTTTAGCCAGGGAGCGCTTAACATCGAGCTTAGCCTTAATCCATCTTGCACCATTTAGTGTGCGTTTCAAAATGTCACATATGCTGCTATGAAGAAACTTACCGACCTTTGCGATTGTATGTTCGCTAAGAAATGGTGCTACCATCTTCGATGTTCCTACCTCTGAAAGGCAAACCCGCGTCCAGCTTAACTGTGAACAAAAAAATAAGCTACCGAACTAAGTTCACGCAAGCTGAATTCTATATGGTAACGGGATACTATTATTTCATAAGAAATTATCTGAGCAGTTGATCTTAAAGCACCTAAAAAGAATATTTAGAATTACTTGACCAACCTCCAATAATAATTTTATATGCTCCTAATGAAGAAATTGCCAATAAATATGAAAAAACCATCATCGTAGAGCTTAATCGTTGCTAACAAGTCACTTCCATGTAGTTTGCGATGTTAAAGGATACTGCTGAGACAGATTTGCCTTTCAAATTTAGTCCGCCCCCCCCCGAAGTAGCAGCCTATTTGCGCGCTTTCGACATAATCGGGAAGCTTACCAAGTTTTTAGCGGATGGTTCCCCCACAGAAGACATTTTAGTCGAATGGTCTCGATTAGCGAGTGGTGACGGGGCGGGAGAGCCTTTAGTAATGGGTGAAAGAGAGGCTTCACTCTGGCTATTTTAGGCTGCAGGACGCATAGCAGTACCAACAGCCAAACCAACTGCCGCAAAACAGACGATGCGTCAGAACCAGTAATTTTTGGTACGGTAAAAGGTAAGGGATAAGTGATCAAGTGCTCGCTTAGTCGCTTCGATGCAAATTGAAATCTTACGAGTTCAGACTATGTATTAAGTGGTAACATTTGAATAACCGTCGCGAAAGAGCGTTCATTAAATTCGTAACATGACACTACAAAAAAATTACACAACAGCGACCTCGGCCCCTGTTGTAACGGGGCACCCTGAAGCTTGTACTGTCACCAGTACTTATTCTGATGACAGAATAAGGCGGTGCCTCGTAACTTCACGTACACTCGTACGTGCAGAGGAAGACGGTAAGAATAAGCGAGTACTTGGTTAAAGTAAAATGTAGAACTGTATTTAGTATAGTTAATGTCTGCAATAAATCACTATTTATCTTCATCTAACTTTGTCTAAATACAAATGTGTAAATGAAATATCTGCTCACCACTCATTGCGTGCGTCTGTCGTGGCACGTCTTCGTTGGTTGATATAATGGCCTTTATCAACTAATTAGGAACTACTCGTAAGTGCTACAGAATATTTGTCCTTATGACAATGTTCTGAGCATATAACTCTAATAGTTATATTCTATTAACTATTTCTTATAAATTGTTATGTAACGATTCACCCCGTTACACCTGTAGTAAAACATCGTGATGAGAGAGTCATCTCGTCGGCAGGGAAGGTCTCCTGTGATGCAATTTACAGCTGAACTAGCAAGCCCCTCAGTATTCTGCACCTTTATGCCCACCTATGTATTTGTGTGCGGTGATCATCATTTTGAAATCGCATAATCAGGTGAATATTGAAGTTATTTCGTGTCTTCAATCGACTTTGAAACTTCGTGGTTTGCTTTGCGAAACCACCATTTTCATCATGACAAGCATATTTTCTTTCACCCTTCGGGCTCGTAAATAATGCCTATTGGCCAATGAAGAGGGGACAAATGCTGCATCGCACTTAGTACGACTGGTGAGGCATACCCGGCGTTTATTTGCAGACACATGCAAAGGAGGTGACATGCTACATCACACTAAGTACGACGCGTCACGTACTCCTAGCTTTTTTAAAAACAGACCGATAAGTACGATAAGATAGGGGAGCAAAGCTGATCGGCTTAACACTGGGTTCGCAATCAAGTAGAGTAATAACGTTGTTGTCGTAATCACAGCAGCTTCAACCTCAGCTTGCACGCCATAAATACCTAATCCTGCTTAGTCCCAGCTACCATAGTGGAATCAGCAGCTTTCATGTTTGCACATAATTCAAGATGAATGTTCGCCTAATCTTAAGCTGCTAAATCTTTTGAGTTTCGGGCCGTTTATTCTCGGTGAGGCAGTAGCTTAGATGCACGAGTGCTAGAACTGTGTCAGTCTGACGCGTGAGATAAAAGCGATCTCACTTTCCGTGTTACGTTACTGTACGGTCAGACCACAAAAGCTCCGCTGTTTGCTGTATTAATAAATAAGTAGGAAAAGCACCAACCACTGTTGATATTTGGACGACCATCGCCACACATTGCGGCCAATTGCAGTCAACAAAACGTTCTAAAGATCGAAATAACCGCTACTTACACTATCTGGGCGATGCAGGTATTCACTGCAGTTGCTCGGACTAGGGTTGATCTCGATTGCATCACCTTCCCTCACATCGCGCGAGACTTCCCTCCTCTCCCTCCAAACGCATGCTCACGCTACGTGGTCACTTGCCTCACATAGTCGATAAAGCCAGTCGTCTCTAAATATAGAGGTCCGTATCTCGAACAAATCGAAATGCTTACAACTGAGACAAGTTCAACCCGTTCGCATGCGGCGACCATCACTCTTTACACACACTGCGACACCGTCAGCGTCCACGTAAGCCAATGACGTCGCTGCATTCTTCGTCACCATCTCTTCTGATTGGCTGAAACCCTTTCCTGCACTGAACCGCCGGTTCGCACTGCCCACAATTCAAAAGCTCCGGTAAAGCGCACGAAGCTTCGAGATCCGTCCGTCCGTCTGTCCGTCCGTTCAGCTTCCACGCCCTCTCTCTCTCTCGTTCTGCTGCCTCGAATCATGGCGACTCTATACAGCGGCGTGCCCTCTCAAATGCGGTTCCCGTTCTCCTCTTCCCACACTCACTACACGTCGAACGACGACGCCGCGGCGCAGATTCGAATGCAGCAGTTCCGGTACAGCAATTACAGGACGCAGCATGGCATGGAAGGGTTGCTACCACCCCCTTCCCCACCCTCTCCCTCTTGTGTACCAGCACTGGGAGGTGGTGCCTTTGGGCTCCCGACCAAGCAGCAACAGACGAGACTGTACCCAAGCACCGAGTCGTCCAATCACGTCTTTCGCCTCGCGTCGCCTCTATTTCGGTCCCAAAATGTATCCACTTCAATGTACATGCAGCAGCAGCAGTCTATGATACACAAGACGTACTCCACACAGCAGCAACAACAGCATCAACAGCTGCTACATTCTTCGTCCCGTACGGGGGACCACCTCTCAGACGTGCTGCTCGTGTCACCAGGCGTCCCGACGCCAGTGGAACTCTCGATCTATGAGATCAAACAACCCACTGGCTTTCTCCATGTGACAAGAGGCAATCAGACGGTCGAGTTTCTCGACGGAGTGGCCAATATGCCGCAGAAGCGGTAGACGCCGTGGTGCGCTGTGCCACAGCATGCCACGACCAGGAAACAGAGAGCAGTTGTAGCTCTTGGCTCTTCTTGTTTCTCTGTCAAGATCTTCAGTCGCCAAGGCTGCAACTGCTATACTACTAGTCCCCGTTCTTTCTGCTATAAAATCAGCTGCTGCTGTTTTTGCAAGCGTGGAGGTTCAAGAGCAAGTACTGGTAAATTGATACGGTGGAGTGTGATCGAAACGCGTTGCAGCCGCGTGTGTGTCATTGTGATGTCTTCACGTCAAGTTTCGTCAAGGAACAGCCAGCTTTTCGTTTCCGTGTGTATTCTATCGGCAGCTCGAGCAAGTCGTGGTTGAGCGACTTCTGCCTGTACGTCTTCCCGTTTCTATTCTGAAAATTCCATCGTTTTAACAAAGAGAATGAACAGTTTTGCTTTTCTTAGCTCAGCCGTCAATCGGTTCAGTCGATTCGGCAGTCCAGGGTTACGCCATCCCATCTCTCTCACGACTCGGTCTTGTCTCCAACGGAACGTCAGTTGTTGCAGCAACGTGCACTGGCAGTGTGTGTGCGCCTTCCAAGCGGCTAGCGACAGCAACGTGCTCACGGACGAGACTACCGACAACTGCATCTGCTTCGAAAATAAGGATGCCTTCGCTCTTGTCTGCCAGCCCCAGCTCCGCTTCCGAGCAGATCATGCCCTGGGATATCTCGCCACGTAACTTACTCTTCTTGATCTTGAGCTTCCTTCTACTCGTCATGACAGTCATACGAATGCACCGAGAGAGCAAAAGTGAGATAGAGATAGAAAAGCAAACACCCCAAAGCTCAAGCTGGTCACACATTGCATAGAACGTCATATTTGCATAGGGGGAAGAGTCACACGTAACGTACAGCTCGCCCGTCTCGGGCTCTTTCATGACCAGTCGAGTCCCCACTTTAGCTACTGGGACACGCGCTCCTTGACAAACATTAGTCGCGCCACAAATGATCTGTAGCAAATTGTCCATGTCCCCAATGTTTACACTGCAGACGTTTAGGCGATCTGCTTGGGGATGTGGGTGGAACGCCACGATCTCGCCAACCACCACAGTGTTCCATGTTGTCCCTAGTACTGGCTGCTGCTGCTGCTGTTGCTGCACGGGCTTCTTGTTCTTGGAGACTGCATTTACTGTTTTACCAGTAGCTTCAGCAGTTGAAGTGACGGCTGCAAAACGATTGTGAAGACGTCTACTATAAGTCACCGCGGCACAGCGGGATGAGAGTAAGCGAAGCATCGCTGAAAATGAGACCGGTTGTCCAGAATTTATCTAACTGACGCTATGATGATTTGGCTATTTTTGGGCTCTTTCTTCGCTGTTCGAAGTATGAATTTGCGAAAAAAAGTACTCTAAGATAGTGATAAGTTTTAAAACCTCATCGAATAGTGCTTGGAAGTAAGACCGATGTCGATTATACCGACCGGCCGTGAAAGATAACTACCTCACTGACACGCGTGCATGCATATGCACACTAAATTGTCGTAGTAGATCAGAGTTGGTCTATGTGGAGCAAGTTTTGCAAGTGAAGCTAATGGTTCAATCGACACTAGAGTTGAGGGTGCAGCAATCGGAGTTTTCTACTGCTGATAGTTCGATGGCGCGCTTTTCGTGGTGCTACGACAAACGGGATCCAAAAAGGCTTCGTGTTCAAGAAACGCGTGACTTTGTTTGCAAATAATACGCAATGCCACACAACTGCTTTGTCTTTAGGGGCACCTAGGTAGTCAATAATTTAGAATGGCTACGAAGGTCAACTATGACAATAAATGTACAAAACTATAGCGCAATACGACGTGCTTCAAAGTAGATTAGCAAGTTATCGGTACGAAATGGTGCCCTGCACAACCCGTCTACTTTGCCCAACGTTACAACCCATTCCTTTAGCCACGTTTGACTACCATCCGAAGAAGTCTGCCGTCGACTCAAGCACGCGCAAACGTTCGGCCCGTGATGGTCTTTTTCTGGGTCTTCGATTGATCTTTCTCTGGGCGGGCACGATTCAACACTAAAACAACACAACAAGTCGGAGGTGTTAGACGAGCAACGCAAACCCATCACAAATAAACGAACCTTGCAGCAGCAAGTCCACGCGCTTCCGCATGCGGATGTGCAAGTACGTTTTCGAAGCCTTGATGTGATAGTGGAGGTAGTTGCGAAGACTCTGGACGAGCGTTGCTGCCTTGATGCGCTTCTCGGTCGTGTCTACGTGCGTGGGGAAGATGGCAAGGCTCAGGTAACCCACAAGATCAGGCGAGTTACGAAGGCCTGGAGCGCCACGGAGCTCGAGCGGCGGGTCCTTGCCAAATGCCACAGGGGGCGCATTGTTTACCGTGCGTCGCGTGTCGACGAATTCCTGCGACAAATGACAAAAGAGGCTTGTGAGCTCAAACCCTGGTTGCAAGACTGCATTGACACAAACTCACCTGCAAAAAGACACGTGCGATCGCCTGATCAGTCTTATCATCGAAACAGACCGAGTACACAATGACGATACGATCTGCCTGAGGGAGCACGTAGATGGTCTCGTTGCGACGATACGGGATTTGCACAGGGCTGAGCGCATTCGCGTTGCCATTTTGCAGTGCCTCAAAACACTGCTCGAATGGTGCGGCAATAATGTTGCGTTTCAGGACTGAAATACGGTCAACGAAGGAGGCTACACCAACAGATCGAACCCAGTAAAAACAGTAAGTCGGCTGACTTTATAACCGTACAAGGTCGAGTGGTTACCATCAAGAGGCAAACAGAACGCACCTGCGTTTTCTGGAGTGATGAGATCCACATTGACCTGCAACGAAAAGTCAAACCCTGCCTTCGGAGCAACGTGCTGGAACTCTGGGTACGTGACAGCGAACATCTGCTGGGCACCCAATCTAACAACAGCCACAGGCAAGTCAATACCCTTCACTGGAGTCCGTAAAACTGACCACTCGACTGCAGCAATCACACACACCCTTCCAGTATCTTGTAAGGTGGGTAGGCCATCGAAACCGTCAAGAGATTGCCCACAATGGACATATCATACTGCACATCTGCAATTGACAGTAGTTGAGCCGTCAGTACATAAAGCATAAATACCGTCCCGTATGCCGTCCCCTAACCCAGGAAATACAGCACGAAATTACAGTCCAGCGTTATCTCCAGTACAATATCCACTCGGTACTACCATCAAAGTCGCAGAGACGGATCTCCAAAGGCTCCACGGGGCGAGGAGCTCTGCACGTGGTTAGTACATAAAAACCGGTTAATCACGGAGCGAACGAGATAGCAGCAAGCGCATGAAATTACGGGACATAGAGAGAGCAAGAGACAGGACATACTTATCTCCGAGACGTGCGCTGAGCACCTCCTTGATGATCTTGTTCTCCGACTCGAGGAACAGCATCTCGCGGTTACACTAGAGGTCGAGTAGTCAGTCAATCGCCTCCCGCACTTCCAGATGCGAAATGGTTACGTCGTAACGTCCTGTAGCTTTACCGGTATATCGATTAACCGGTAATTCTATCCACTACCTTCAACCGGTTATTCCATCCACTCTCTCCAGCTGATCTAGTATCGCTTTTGACCAATGACGTGATCAACTAAGTACCGGTTACCCTCTTCTTCTTCTCAACCAGTTCTTATCAGTATATTCATGTCATCATCCCGTCCGCCGCTGCCGTCCTCGACGTCGGTAGTGAGTCTCTTGGGCGGTGCAGATGAGCTTACTATCGGTATTAGCAGTCGCGTTCTATTCTGTGGTCAGTTAGAAAAGCGTCGAGATGGCGCTGTGCGTGGAGGCTGGGCTTCGCGGCTCTTTGTCCTGACGCCGGACACGCTGTACTATTACCGCAAAACTACCGAGTTGGAATTATTAGGCGAAGAACGCGGTCATGTACGGTATTTCTCAGTATTTACCGGTCAGGTGACTGTTTTGCAACATGCGCATCTCGCTGACTTGATCACCAATGGGTACATTTCTATCGGTATGTGTAGATCGCACTAGGTTCGATCACGAGGGTGCGTGCCTTGCCGCAAGAAGAAGCGCCTTGCACGATAGTCGATCCAGGTGTTGAACACTACTATCTTGAGATTTGCACGGTCGGTCATCTACTGCATGGGACAGTCAAGGTACTAGCTCTTTAGAGACTAATTGGTGGCTGTTTGTTTGTATTCTGCTGTCTACAGGAGGACCATCTGTACTTGATGCGGACTTTGCTTCGAGAGGCGTCAACATGTGAGAGCTGGTCAATTGCCATTGAGGAGCAGCGCAAGATGCTGCGCGTGGGAAAGGTGGACCAATACAACAGCAGTTTGAGCTCCGTCGCTTGCGCAGAGGCGCTGCCCAGCCCTACTTTACTTGCACGGAACCACGAACTCTCTTCGCGTTTCGTACGTCGATCTGGTTTTGTGTTATGCATTTTGCAGCGAACTTGTTTGAACCAGATTCGAAACGCCGTTAACTGATTGTAAGATCCTTTTTTTTTGCTTGCTAACAACCAGGAAGCATCGCCTCCTCGTGTGGCCATGGTCTCGGTTGTGCACGTAAGTAAACAGGAAGCGCAGCCAGCAGAAAAGGTGATAAAACGAGGGATTGAGTGGGGCGAAAAGCTGGACCTCGGTGTGATTCCGCAAGGGGGAGCATGCGTCATACTTCTTCAGAATGGCGGTCTCGGTCGTATTGGCACTCAAGCTCTCATGAGCAGTTGGGACTCAGGCCATGTTTGCTGGATTGAAGTTACGGACGCCGAGTTGCCCACGGAGGTTGAGATCTCAGTGACTTGCAAGGTTTTGTCGCAGAAGAACCGATTGAATTCCACCAAGCCTTCGTGTGCTCAGGAAGGGCTACCGAAGTGGATCGAGTGGGTGGATGAAGGCTCGAGCATTGGTTTTCTGCTCATGTGCCTGTTCGTCCATTTGCTATATGGTGTCGACGGCTTCCACTGGTCGCACAAGTGCTGCCTCACCGTTGGTGCCGCTCTTGCCATTTCAACAATTTTAAACGGATCTGCTAGAAGTGCACCGACGCCTGTGTTAACGCCTCGATATTTGAGTCCCACAAATTTCCTGCCCAAGCTGCAGTTTACCCTCGTCGTTCATCGGTGTCGGATAAAGATGGAGGGCATGGAGTACACTTACCCGCCGGCGAGCACTGGCCAATAGTAGGCGTGTGCACCCCATGAATTAGTACGTGGACGACACGCGTGGTTTAAGATAGCAATGCGAGATTGGCAGACTCATGTGACAGCAAGACTGACACTCACGCCATATGAAATGAAGCAGCTTCAGAGAATAAATTACTTGTCCTACTCTGGTATTCCGACGCCGACGCCAACGCTACGACTGACCTCCAGGTCAATACGTGCCGTTGTTCTACTCGTATAGATTCAGCGTCTCTGAGCTGCGGCTCAGTCGGGAATCCATCTTGTCAGCGCTGTGTGCCGTATCCAGAAGCGAAATCACAGCCTGGCGATCTGAGTCGGCGTACCCGAGCTCGATCAGGCGCTGGCTGAACTCCTCGAGTGTAAGCGCGCCGCAAGAGAGACTGCTCATACCGAGCATCACGTCCATGAGAATCGCTGGGCGCTTGATTTTAAGCAATGCCGCTCGCTCAATAAGACCCATCGAAGGAAACGACAAGTTCCACAGCTCGCGAAATTTGCGCTCTGCAAGCTCAGGGTCTTCAATTGTAAGGGACATCTCCGTACTCGCTTCGACATTACTGGGCTCCAGCTGAAAAGACCGAGTGCGCGGTGCATCTGGATGACGAGCGCTGTTTTCTATGTGCTGCAGTGTGTCAACAATGCCCTCGGATGACCTGCGCTCACGGAAAAACTGGTCTCGAGGTGACTGCAAGTCGCGTCGAAATTGCTGACGCGAGCGCTCTCGTTGATGGCGTGGCTGCGGCTGGCGGTGATTGCTGTAATTTTTAGCAGATGACACACCATGCAGCTGCTGCCTCGACCCGCGCTGACTGTACTCCTGAATGTTACCAGCTTTTCCCACCGAGACAAACACCTCAGCCTCGTCTGGTAATTCCCCAATCTCTTCTACAGTGCATATGGGCTCGCCATCTTCTCGCGAGATATCAATGATTTGATTTTCTTTGACACTGAAGCGAATTTTCAGCACATCCATGATCACCTGCGGCTCCGTTCCCTCGAAGTACGATATGCACACCGTGCGCCCGAACGTCGACAAACTGTTAACGTTCAGATGCTTGCAACGTTGCTGCATGCGCGATTGAAGTCCCTTCCGTGACCGCGGCAAGTTGATCTGCCATAATCTGCTTACGCAAACTTGACAAACACGTCGAGGACGCTGCTCATCCACTGCTCCAGTACTAGCAGCACTCTTTTCACGTTCCGGGTTTGCCAGTCGTGTGTTGGTGCATTTGCTGCAAAAGGCTTTGCGACAGTAGCTACACTTGTGCTTCCACTCCAAGAGCGAAAACATTTTCTGGCATCGCGAGCAATTCTCGGTCTTGTTTGAATGCGATTGGAGGGGAACGGGTCGATCTGGAATCAGGTTCTGCAACAATGTATCAACTTCGTCCGACGTGATACTGTTCCCCTTGTACAGGCGAAATTCTTCCAGCATGAGGGACTTGACAAACCCTTGGTTCGGATACACGACGCCACGACTAGCCATTGCAAAGTTCACGGCCGTGACCAGCGACCAGTTGTTGGCGCGCATTAAATACATAATGACAAGGGTCGCCGAGCGCGAAATGCCTTGCGTACAGTGGACGAGGACGCGGCCATGTTGCATCCGCTTAGCCGACTCGATGAACCTGTACGCCGCGTCAAAGTACGGGCTAATATCTGCTTCTGGACGGTCCTTGATCGTCACGTTCAAGTACTTGACGCCATCGCGCTCGAACGTGTTGCCTACATCTAAACTCGCGTTCACCACGTGCGTAATCCCGAGATGGGATACCACCTGCTTGCTCTGAGCGTGCCACATATTGCCAAGAAACAAAAAGCCCTCAAGGATCTCGTTCGGGTAATTCAAATTGTGCGTCCCGCTCTTGGTCCGCGTCAATTGGCCCGAGATTTCGTCCATAAGTGCCGACGTGGTGTAAAACGGGTACCGGTACTTGAACGTCAGGAAACCGTCGTACATGAGCTTGACACTCGTCACAAGTCCGTCTTCAATAATCAACTGTTCCAGCTGTCGGAGCCAGCTACAGCTCGCGCCGTTTCGAGCATCCAGGCCGTCGTCCGCTACAATCTTCTTCACCGCATCTCCGAACAGCACGACATCCCGCAACTTTCGTTTTTTGCTGGAAAACAAATAGCGCTGGTCGTCCAACAGTCGCTTTTCCACGTCCTCCAGGGTCGCACAGCCTTCCATCGGTGGAACCGACAGTGCCGACGGAATCGTGTCTCGTTCGTACTCGACTTTACTCCGCGTGTCAATGAGGATCATACCCCGTGAGGCCTGGACTTGGTTATAGAGCCAGCGACAATTGACTTCCCCTCGACGGACGAGCCGCTTCTTGGGCGCTGCTTCTGCCACCGACTCGGACGTTACAGTAGCAGCAACAGTAGTACCCTCCTCCTCTTCTTCCTCCTCCTCCTCCTCTTCTTCTTTCGCTGCCGCGTCCTCGTCGTCACTCGTGTTTCTGCTGCCGCCACTGCCAACGTCTTTTGGCGACATGTCCGGAGTAGCTCCTGTTGTTGCGGTTGTTGTGGCGCAACAGGAGCGAGGGCTGTTGGCCATGGACGCCTCGATGCTCGTAGTCGGGGTCGGTGGCGTCGCTAGGAGCATCTCGAGACAACAATGGGCTCTCTTTGCGTGATTAGACTTTGAGATGTCCAAGCTCCTGCTCTCTGCTCTGCTCTGCTCTCTACCTTGTGCTTCCGGCTTTCGGGCTGAGCTGAGCTGAGCTGAGCTGTGCTGGTGAAGGCTCGAGGCGGAGGAGCGAGGCAGAGCCGCTTACGCCACGCCAGCTCAGAGATCCGGAGCTCTACCAGCGCTTCGGTTCATAAACAGTCTGCCAGACGGACGGACTGACTGTCCATGCGTTGAGAGCCAGCGGATTCTTCGCGAGTGTCGAGAGCCGGAGCAGGGTCGAGACAGAGGAGAAGCTTTGGTCGAGGTGATGCAGGATAGTGGCATACAGAGTGTTGTGAACAGGGGTTGATATGTCGATAGAAACGAGGTGCCAGGCTATTCTGATTCTTCGGGTAGTGTTGTTATCGTGTCTGACGGGTTCCGTGGAGCTGGACTTTGCCCTAGACCACGGCTGGATTAAACCTCATTTTATGTTGCAGAGAATTTAGGCTTGAGGTTTGACCCAATGAAACCTTGATTAAACTCCTCAAACTTCATTAACAAAGGTGCCAGTATTACATACTTGAGACAATTCTGTGGTTCTTGCCACCAAAAGTGACGGACTCACTGAGGCCAGGGCTACATTAGTACAGAAAAACTCATCAATCCTAAAAAAGTCCCTGATCTGGAAGCTGAGTGTTTGATCGTCTAATCTTACAAAACCTACTTGAATAAAACCTCACGATGACCAGTCTTGCCCTAGACGCAAAGGATGTGGTTATTGTGGACCGTGACGGTCAGAGTGGCATCCAACTGTCGCTGCAGTGAAGAGCCACGACCGTTCGGCGTTATTCGTCTTGCTTTTTGGTTCTATCAAGTCTCCACTTTTGCAGTCAGTCGTACGTGGCTGATTAGTTTTGACTGGCTTTTGTGTCCACACATCTTCCTGATGGTCGGGTCATACCTGGTCAACGAATCCCTCCGCAGCCGCTGGACACCACGCTGAGCTTCATAAGATTACCAGTACTCTGCAGCTATCTAATCCTAGGGACATCGAGCATTCATCAATTCAACTACTACGTCAGATAGATGGATTGAGAGGCAAGCTCTCTCTCTACACTGTCGTACATCAGGGACACAGTGTGAGTGGCCCAGATTGTGCGGCACTAAAATGCTTGCACTGCTCTGCGACTTCATGGACAAAGAAAGTCAATAATCTCAGTTGCCGGTCCGCACGCTCCGTTCGTCATGCATCATGTTTGGAATCGGGAGCGCTTGCAACACGCTGCTACGCCAGCAGCTCGGTCGCCATAGACGAAAAAGGGCTAGAAGCAGAAGGACTACGAGGTCAAGTGCTCGACGTCCATCCGTCCGCAAAGAGAGCAGTTGGTCTTTCTTAGCGGATGTTTGGGGCTTGTAAAATTTGAGCATCCTGACCTTCTGGCGCGAGGTCGGCCTCTTACATTCTCCAGTGTGACAGATCTCAGTGCTGCTTTGCATATCCACTGCTTACGCAAGCGAGCGATAGTAGACGGGCAGCTCTTTTGTTCAGTAGTCCTATATGTGAGTAACAAAGAGTCAACGGCGACAGTATGTTACGATACGCTGCCTAGCCATGACCGCATCTAGTCGTACTACCTGTGCTGCTTCCGCCATCAACTACTTGCAACGAGCTACTGAGGCGTTTTCATGTACTATACACTGCATCGTGTAGAGTACAATGCAATGGTCAGCATGCAATGTATTTGATGCAGTATTTTTAACACCAGAGACGGTCGCCACCACCTCATCAGGTCTTTTCGTCCGTCATTAAGGCATTGACTGGTTGGCATCTCCTATGCCACTCGGTGAAAACGCCCACGTGCCGAATCTCTCTATGCGAAACACGGTCCATGTAAAACCGCCTCTTGAACAAAAAGCTACCGCCAACTCTTCTATCGAGTCTTTGGCCGACGTGGTGTTTCTAGATGCTGCTGACCCTCCGTCGCACGTGGCGTCATCGTATCGGTCGGTTGTGCCGACTCTTTCAAGCAGGATCTCGTTCAAGAGATCCGGAATGCATGAATTTTGCATGGAGTCCGCTTGCGGCTCAGGTGCTTCACACTGCGATCAGCGCGAGGGATTACGGCGAATAGCGAGCGACATGGTCCGGAGCCGGCTTGTCAGCCTTGTCTCTCGCCGAGTGGCTACACCTGCTTCGTCACATACGGTAGGAGTTACATAAGCGCGGGAGCAGCGAGAGATTTGCTGCAATAACATGCTCTTGATGCCCGACAACTTCAGAGCAAGTCGGAGTTTAGTACACCTTCGCGTGTGTGTAGAACGGTCAGCGCCATGGCCTTCTCATCTGGATCGGTAGCTATGGAAATGTACTTCGCATCTAGTGCTTCACATCTAGAGGGCTTTTAAACATTATTATATGCGTAGTCCCTCCACGACTACGCATGGAAAATGACGTCAAGCGCGCTCGCTTTCTATCTTCATTGTAAGAAAATGAGTTTCTGCAGCATGCTAGCCGAGTACATTTGTACCAGAAGGAGGCATCAGGAAGTAGTATGGTAAAAGTCCCAGCTCGGAAGAGCATGTACGACATTACGGGCCCAGATACTGCAGACTAAACGCTTAGGGATTCGGTTCTGATTTGCAGCCTGAGATACTGCATCCGACTGCAGTAGAAACCTCCAGATATGTCTCTCGCGAGTGGCGGCGGTCGTCGGCCAATTTCTAAATCTTTTTCCCTTTCTTCTGTGATTTCCCTGGTCATCGATTTGTACCCACCAAAGATTGACATGCTGACACGAGAGTCACTGATAACAACAGTACCTTTCCAACACTTTTTCCCCAACTGGCACGCCCGTCAGATACGAGCACTCATCCAGTCCACATCTATCTGCCACCTCACTCAGCCACACTCTTTCGCTCTCCATTATGAATAAACTCGGGTTTCCACACACCACGCCCTCCACTTCTCCCATAAAACACCCACCCACACCCACCCACCCACCCACCTTTCGCACTCATATTTCCACCACAACAAAGCACTTGTTTTAACTTTCTTTCGTCCCCAACAACAAAGCACACATCAAACAAAAAAAGCAGCCAAAATACACTGAAGTAAAGCTGAAGTACACCACCCGTCCGCCACTCCACCCACGACGTTCAATAGCCGCCGCCGCCTCGGGCGTTCTCGTGGCCTTCTCGTGGCCGCCATGTCTCGCCCCACCGCCATCCCGTGCACGTCCACACCTCCACTACCACCACCAGTACTACCACCACCACCAGCAGCAGCAGCACCAGTACAAGCCGCTGTCTCGTCTGTCTGCTGCATCTGCATGGAGCACGAGGAAGTCCACGGCACGCGCCTCGTCCAGTGCCGTCGCTGCGCCATCTGCGTCCACGTCAAGTGCTACGGCCTCCGTCCCTCGAGTCCCGACGCCGTCACGTGGCTCTGTCAAGCGTGCGCTTACTTCAGCGCTACTTCCGCCCCCGCTGTCTCGCCCCAGTGTGCCGTGTGTCCCATTGCTGGCGGTGCTTTACGACGCACCAATCAGCGCGACGTCTGGTGCCACGTTCTATGCATTAACTGGATCCCCGAACTCTTTCACAGCCTCAAAGGCGGTTGCGACGAAGCGGTGGACATTTCGCTATTGGACAAGAGTCGCAGCGCCTTGCGCTGTCTCATCTGCGGTCTACGAGGCGGCTGCATTCAATGTGTCAGTGGCCGCTGCGCCAAAGCGTTTCACGTGCTCTGCGCCTTTCGGTGTCCCTCCAGTCTCTTGTTCACAGGCTACACAGCCGACTTTCAGCAGATTTACCACTGCAAATTGCACCTCTCGGACGTCCCGTCGTCGCTGTTGACGTCCAAGCACGAGCTCATGGACACGTCGTGGCTGCAGCTGCCAGCTGTGCAGACGTACGCAAAGGAGCACCCCGTGACGAGTGAAGGCAAGTGCCGCTTTTGCAGCGCGAAAGTGACGGCAATAAATAAAGACGGACACGAGACGCAGTGTCTATTGGGCTGGCTAGCACGGCAGGATGCACTGCGGAGAAAGCAGGAGTTGCATCGACTGGGACTGAACCCCGTCGAGATTATGTACAAGAAGAAGGACACGATGCGTGCGACAAAAAAAGCTGTTGGTAAATCACGGAGGAAACGTAGTCCTCGCAAGTCGCAGCAGGGCAAGTATCAACGACAAACAACACCGATGCGCGAGTGTCCTGAATGTGGTGCTGTAGTGCGGGAGACGCTCATGATGGGGCATTTACGGAAAAGTTGCTCGAAGAGTCGCCACGCGACGAAGCGCAGGAAGAATTTGATGTCACCGAGGAATCTTTCGTTTGGCATCCGAGACGACGCGGAGGCTGCCAATATTTCAGGCGTGTTGTTTGCCTCGTGGCCAGGACAGAGTAATGGGGCGCTAATGGATTCGGCGTATTTTTGGAAAGTAGTGGAGAAGCATTTTTTTAGCAGCAATACGCTCGAAAAAAAGAGCATCGAGCAAATGTCAAAGAGTTTGTGCGGTGTGAAACTGGAGGACTTTGCGACGGTCTTGCATCGGCGACCTGTTCAGTCGTCTGACATGCATTGCCGAGACACGATGCGATTTGAACGAGATAATGAAGGATCAAGACAGTCTCTAGTGCTCAGAAAATGTGCACACAAGTGCGACTTTTTTATGCGTGCAAGTCATTGTCGCTGTCTGAGCGACAGTGCTGCCAAGCCTTTGATTGAAATAAGTCATAACGCCGTGTGTAAGCAGCTAGGTGCTAATCAAATTGTTGATTCCGCGGTGATACGCGTCCTTCCAGACGGCTCTAAAGTGGACATAAGTGTACTGTTTGGGGATGGAAGAAATGCAGCAGTTGCTTGCAAGTATTCGATGCACGTTATGCAAGAAGAAGCCAAAACGGAGGAGCACGCTGCCGGTATTGATACGTCTGTAAGCAGTTTTCGGCATGATTGTATGTCTACATTAGTTGGCTTTGACATGCAGACAAACAAAGTGCCGCTATTTAAGGGCAACAAGTTGCTGGTATCTCTTGACGCTTGGAGTCAAGTAGAGGAGAGTCTGTCGCAGTGGAAATCGGTTGTAAATCTCTCTGCTGACACCGCACTTGCCGACGAATTAACGCCAGCGATCAACTTGCTATTGGAACATCTCAAGGATACGACAGAAAAGAATCGATACCGCATTTGTACACCATACATGAAGCTGCAAGAGAGTGAGGGTGACGACATTAAGTTTCAAGTGCTAGCGCAGATGACCGATATGTACTATCGCGAATTTTCGGCTTGGAAACGCTTTTGTGTGAGCCTGTTAGTCGGTTATAATAGCAGTGAGTCACACGAAATCGACAATGGGAAGATGGCTGATGGTGAAGAAGAACAAGAGCTTTTAGAAGATGAGAATGACGCAATCGATGATGGCACGTGCGTCGTGTGCTTCGACGGCCAGTCACCTGAAACGAACCCCATTATATTCTGTGATCGATGCGAGCTGGCAGTTCACCAGCGCTGTTACGGAATGGACAAAGTCCCTAGCAATGAGTTCATTTGTGATCGTTGTTTAGCCACGCAAGATGGGCTGGATCCTGCCAGTGATGTTTTTTGTCAACTGTGTTCATTGAATGACGGTGCGTTTAAGCGCACCATCGATGGGAAGTGGGTTCACGTTGTATGTGCTTTATGGTGCCCAAAAGTGTGGATCGGCAATCTGTGCGAGCTGTCAGAAATCAGTTTGGTTGGTACCACCAATCAAATCCGGTTTATGAACTCATTGGAAGAAATTGACATGCGCATCAAGCTAGCGTCCGGCGAGCAGCAATCTGCTCCGAAATATGACCAAAATCCGGAAGTTCCTGCTGTGCAGTTGGGCGATCTTTGCGTACACTGCAGAGTTGCTTGTGGCCGCACGATTGTGTGTTGTCACCCAGGTTGTTCAACGTCCTTTCACCCTCTATGCGGATGGTATGATGGCCTGCCTATGACAATATCACTGAACAACAATCGATACGTGTATGCGGGTGGCGGGGCGGGGCTAAACTTTCAGCTATTTTGCTCGCGTCATTTACCTGATCATTATCCTGCATCAGAGCAGCTTGCAGAGCGCCGTCGGCGAGCGCGGTTTCGAATCGATTCATTCTTCGTTCTGCGAAACAAAGACAATTACAGAAGCGGTGCGAAGAAAAGTTCTGATGACGAGTCTTCTTTGTTGTCTGGTTCGATCGTGCAAGCCGTGCTATCAGCAGAGAACAAGATAACAGCAGCCGAAGTTGGTCCGTTTACGACCGATTGGACTGACATGGCGGTATGCTCTGCGTGCTTTGAGTACTGTTCGCCTATCGTTGGGGGACTTGTGGACGTGAATATGCTACATCGAAGGCAATTTATGATACGTTGCCAGTACTGCAATGTCCATATCCATCCCGAGTGCTGCATTTCGGACATTGGGTCATCTGCCACAATATTCAAAAGCAACTGGATTTGTGAGCGTTGTACGCAAACGGGAGGCAAGGAGGTGCCAGAGTGTATTGTGTGCAATAAGGCAACTGATTACATGATGCCTTGCGTTGAGCCGCCCACTATAGTAAACCATTTGAATCCGCAAGTCAATTCGAACGTAGCACCAGCATTTACAATGATGCGCTCGGCTTTAGGTGGAGGGCAACAACTTTGGTTGCAAGCCCACCAGAAAATGCAGCAACAGCAGCAAGGGCACATTGATGCTGACGGTGGCAAACAGCCTTCGCAGGTACAGCGACCCGAAAACAACCGGGTATCCAATCCTCCTTTAAATAGATGGATGCACGTTTATTGTGGCAAGTGGCAGAAAGCTAAAACGGTAAAGAGGCATTATATGCTCTGTGCGTACGCCCCTGCTCTAAAACAGGAGACTGTGGCAACGCGATGCGATATTTGCGATGAGAAAGAAGGAATACTTGCGAACTGTGCGAAGTGTCACCGCCGGTTCCACCCGATTTGTGCTGCACAGAAAAAGTTGTATTGCGCACGGTCGAACCGCTCCGAGTGGAAGTTCTATTGTGAAGAGCATCCCCCTTCAGATGCAGCTTTCGATGTGAATCGCCAAACGTGGATCACGCAAGCAATACTGGGGCAGCTGCGGGATCTTCGTCGCTCGCTTGAACGTGGAAGAATGCTGCTTGAGATGGCTCGTCAACGGGATCGCCAACAGAAACGGCTGCTCAATTTTTGCAAGCTCCCGCTTATGAAGGCATCGGTAGAAGTGGTTTTAAAAAGACGTCCAACCCCACAAATGAAGGAGACATATTACGAATTGACAGGAAATACGTTGACTGACGCACGACGTCGCGCTAAGCCAGTCCTACTACCATCGCGTGATTTGCAAAATTGCGCAAGAAGCAGTTTGCGCGCTACAGTTGGAAGCCGTTCTATCCGCACAAGTAAGCGTTCGGCAGTGCATGCACCCGCTGCTACAGAAAGGAGCTCAAAGCGCCGCCGTGCAAGCTCGGGATCCAGTGGTTTGGACAATAGTGACCGCAGTTTTGGCCGGCGGAGCGTCAATCGGAGAGGCACGAAGTATGATGAAGTAGACAGTAGCGAGGACGACGACGAATTCGAAAGTCAGAAACAGGCGTGGGCGGATCTTGCGGTTCCCGACGAGCTCGACGATTTTGATTTTGTTATTGAAGAGCAATATCCGGAACTTGTGGTACGTTTCGATGGGAGAGTTTACGAATGATTTGTTCTCATGCCCGTATGGTTGTCTTGTGCTTCGTGGCAGGATTAAGCCCGTCCAGGTTTGAGAAGTGACCTAAGTGTCACAAGCGGACTTACTTCTCGCAAGTCTAAGCACGATAGTCATGGTATATGAGCCGCCCGCATTATGAGCGAAGCGTGGGTGAAGAATACTTCTGAGTTGCCTGAGGACCTATGGTCATTTTCATAGCTCTGGACCATCACTGTTTTTTCGGAAGTGGACACTGCCGACAAGAGCGCGGGTTTTGCCACAACGGGGAATGCGTGTGACTCTGCGGCGGAACACAGTCGACGACAAGTCTCAGCATTGAAGCATGTGGCTCAAGAGTTGTCTGGTCAGCGCCAGGCTCAGTGTGAACATTGACCTCGCACGTATCTGCTGCTGATCTAAACATTGGATTTTCGAATATTTTTGTCGACAAGTGCGAATGATTTGCCGATGGGTATAAAAGCTGAGACCAGAAGTGGCTGTGACTCGCTTGCATCGACGACTTTGCGGTGCTGCATCATAGCACCACGTTTGAGTTCATACGAGGCGGAAGAGCGTCTACGATGTCCGCAGTAGAATTAGTCTGCACCAGTCGGCGTGCAGGATGGAGGATGAATATCACCGTGCGAGATCAATTACACACATCGAGGAGCATCAGCTTTAACCGTGTTTTCGACACTGCCTTCCATCGGGAAGATGGATTTATTTATTAGTGTTGAAACGATTGTGTGCGTCAACATGCTCAAGCTGGTTCGTGTTCGACCATGTGTCGCCTCGATGGAGATTAATTTCTTAGTGTGATGAATGTTGTACGTGTCGACGAACTGTGGCTGTTCGTTCATTTTCAACCGCTTCTCGACTGTAAAGCAAGTAGCAGTTTGGAGCAGGCGTGGGTGTGAGGTTGTTGTGTAAGCCAGCAGTCAACAATTTTCAGGATAAGTATCGGACTTCTGAAGTGTACCATGTCCAGAAGTAAATGGCTTCTTTGACCGCAGATGCGTTTTCATGCATAGAATGCGGATGCTCATTGGCTCTTCAACATTCAAGCTGCTACGTACAAGGGCTTCTACACGCTTCTGGGTTGGTGTATGTTTCGTCATCACTATGGATGGCTTGACTAGCACTAGGGCCAAGGCGAAGTCAGCTTGGAGTTTATACCGCGAACGCTCAGCATGTCATTGGACCAGCGTAAAGCTGTCAAGTTGCACAACAGCCTCTTGCAGGCGGAACCTACGATTGTATCTTTCCACAAATCCAATCGCCACGTCAATCTTCTCGGTCATCCAAGCAGCAAGATAACAATCCCAACTCGGAAAAGATTTGCCTGCTTATTCGCGAGTACTTACTAGCGTTACAAGTGCTAGCGCTCAAGGCTATTTGTTGAGCACGATGTGTTGTTCTCGAATGTCTTGCGACTAAGTTGTTGAGGATGCACGAGTCGGCGCATTGGGAGACAGAATGAACTTGTCCGTTTGTGGAGTTATGGCAATTGCAAGTTTGAATACCACTTGAAAAACTCAACGGTAACGTCACGTCATCAAGCGGGTTGAGGGATCTGTTCGGGTGGATTGTAGTTTTGAGAAGCCACAACAAGTGACACGGATATACAAGCCACACTTGCTTTGGAATTACGAAGACATACGTGCTTGTCCGGTGCTGCATGGAACGTCAAAGCGTCGTGAATTTTCTTATCCCGATTGCATTATGTTAATCCACGTCGGCGTTATCAGGAATAAATGTGGCCGCCAAATTTAACGACATCCATTCGAACATTGCTGACGACCGAGTCTGATTGACAAAACCTTTGACCAACTAGCAGCTACGATGGGTTAGTGGAGCAGCAAGTAGACAAACAACCGCTTGGAAGCGCAAGGCTATTGTCCCATGTGATACAATTCTATACGTCTAGGTTCAGCATGTACGCAGACGAGAATGGTGCAATGAACAGCATCGTCTGTGCGTGACGATGTTGTTTTGTATACACACACCTACGTCAACTACGGTGTGGTACGGATCACTGCAAGTAGAGCGGACACCAGACTCGGACGTAGTGGATCCGGAACGAACATCGCAAAGACTCTACCAGCATTTCAACGCGCGTTGAAAACGTGACGAGTTGGACGGTCCCTACATTAGCTTGTGCTCGTTTCAATGTGAAAGGGAGCTGAGTCATGGAAAGCAAACTCACGTGCAGTCAAGCGCAAGACCAAAGAGTAGCGGTAGACTGCGAGAATACAAACTAGACCGGTGCCTCGGTCCGTAACTTGTGCTTACTTCGTAGTGAACGGCATCGGGATCCGGTAAAGCCAAAGCGGCTATAGCCGACGATGGTAATCGATGCAGAGGCCAAATCATGGCTCAATATCATCCGTCCAAGATCGACAACGTTACCAAAACGATGACGCGAACTCATTTGGTCTTTGATGTCTCTAATTGACAACATAAACCATGTTCAGCAATGTGAAAGACCTCGATGGCTCACTCACGTACCGATCTAAAATTACAAACGCTCGTTTCAGTCCATTCCCTGCCTGATGTTGGCACGTTACTTGACCAGGCAAGTGCAGCGTGTCAAGAAGCAATACAAAGGGCACAGATGATAACGAAGATACTGGATCTATGTATGAGCTGTAGTAGTAAGATGATGTATAGTCTATCTCCCTCACAAAAGTTCCGCTCTTGTTCTAAAAGCTTGTACTGAGTTCTTCAGAAAAGACCACTACTGATCGGTATAAAGTGCGCTGCTACTACCCTGGAGTGTCATTGATATCGGCCCTTCAGACTCGCACGCTATCGAAGCCATGAAGCCTTTTGAATTCGCCTTGGCAACTCGCAATATTACAGCAAAATTGTTTACTCTGTCGCAAGCTCATAAGCAGTATGACCAACAGTCTTAGCTCAAGAAAGCGTGACAACGTCTTGCTAGACTTGCGATTTGCCGTTGGTTTTACCATGGAGGTAGTAGCAGTACTTTGTATACATAGAAGTCGCACAACGGGGTTGGACACTTGAGGCTCGGGGGTATTTGGATTTAATTCGAAGGATGGCGATAAAAAGGATGTTAGAGTTCCTTTCTCATCAACTGTAATCAGACGGTAATACTCGTGAAGTATTTTACGACCGGAAGCAATTTCATCCATAATGGCAAATCATCCAGTCGGACCCCAATTGCTCCGTTAAATTAACCTTAAAATCAGGCGTCGTGACCACGTTCTATGAATGCGTCCAAACGATGCAGGCGTCAAAGCCGCTAACTTTGTCCCTACCCTCTATTGACAAAACGAACACTCTTGCTTGAAGTATCTTACGATCCGCGATTCTGCAGATCAGTCAGAAACAAAAGTCTCACGTGGCGAAAGCATTTCACAAAGTGCACGTAACTCACAAGATCTCCCATGACCGACAAGACGTGGACCTCGTTGTCGTACTTATCAGGCTTTGGCAACACGTTTTGCTCCGAGGCGCTGCCCAATGCGCTTCCAAAGGTGCAAAACAATCCCCAAAAGGTATTGATTACGATAAATTAGCTCTCAATACTGGAGACGAATGCAATGAACTTCTGCGAACTCGGTTATGTTGTTGGTTTAGTGTCCGTACGGACTATACGCTGAGCAGCTCTCGGGGACTGCATTCACGTTGCCACGGCACAAGAACCAGCGCTCGTGGCTGTACCGGATCTTACCTTCCGTGTTGCACGAGAAGTACCAGAAGGTCGAGCACTCTTATGTGAAAGGGGACTTTGCCCAGGAGACCTTGTCGCCGCAACAAATGCGGTGGAACCCTATGCCGTTTCCGGAATCGTCGGACAAGGTGGACTTTGTGACTGGTCTGCGGACGATTGGTACGAGGGTCTGCTGTTTTTGGTCGAGATGTTGTGCTTGGGTTGGGTACACTAATGAGGGATCATCTCGTCACGCATTTGGAGTGGAGCAGGTGGTGCAGGAGACCCGACGATGAAAGCAGGGATGGCTATCCATATGTACGCAGCCAACGAATCCATGGTGGACAAGTGTCTTTACAACTCGGATGGAGACTTTCTGATCGGTAGGTCTTTTTTTGTGTGTTGTAACTATGCTGAACTGTCTGCTTTGACCAAATCATGGTGATGATATGTTGTCGCAGTTCCACAAGTTGGCACTTTGAAGATCACGACCGAGTTCGGGCGACTCAAAGTGTCGCCGCACGAGATCTGCGTCTTGCAGGTACAAATGCAGTTTACAAACTTATTCTGAAGTGGCCGGTGTGAACCTGAGGTTGTGATTTCTATAATAGCGCGGCATCAGGTTTTCGGTTGAACTTGACGAGCCGTCACGTGGATACATTTTGGAAGTGTACAACCGTCACTTTATCCTCCCTGACCTCGGACCTATCGGCGCCAATGGACTTGCTAACCCACGTGACTTTGAGCACCCAAGTGCTGCTTACGAAGATCGTGACTGCAAGTACATGGTCGTGAACAAGGTGAGCCATCAAAGAGTTGCTCGATACTGCAAGAAAGTGTCTGACTTTTGTGCGTGGCTGCTGCTAGTTTGGAGGTCAGCTATTTTCAGCTCGCATGACACACTCGCCATTCAATGTCGTTGCGTGGCATGGAAATTACGTTCCATACAAGTACAACCTGGACAAGTTCTGCACGATGAATTCGGTCAGCTTTGATCACCCGGTACGGCATGAGTGCAATGGCTATCTATCTGCCAGACACATACGAAACTTCGTTTTTAGCTTGGTTGTGCTTACCGTATGTGCCGTAGGACCCCTCCATTTACTGCGTCCTCACATGTCAAACTGAGGAGGCAGGGAATGCGGTTGCAGACTTTGTCGTCTTTCCGCCCCGATGGATGGTAATTGACCGTTTACACAAACCCCTATCGTGTGCAATGTCTCACATCTCTTGCACAGGTTCAAGAGCGAACGTTTCGCCCTCCTTACTTCCACCGCAACTGCATGAGCGAGTACATGGGCATGATTTACGGTACCTACGACGCCAAAAAAGACGGTTTTGTTCCAGGAGCGGCTTCTCTTCACAGCGTTCTCACGCCACACGGACCAGATGCGGCAACTTTCCTTGCTGCTTCTAACGAACATCTCGAGCCAAAGAAGTTCGACGGTGGTCTAGCGTTCATGTTCGAGACGACGTACTTTGTCAAGCTAACGGACTACGCACTTGGCTGCGACCAAAATGACGAGAACTACTGGAAGTGCTGGCAAGAAATGCCGAAGCTCTTCAATCCCAACAAAGCTTGATATGGTGAGCAGATTGGATGAGTGAATGGACACCTGCCACCCGAAGAAGGACTTATTGAATGAGCTCTACAAGTCGTCTCCCGCTTATGCCTTTGCAATACAACTGCCTTGCCTGGCATTTTACATCGCCCTGAAATCGCCTGTAGCGTGTAGCACATGACGCATGCAAAGTCACTGTGTCGAGTGTTTCTTGCAGTACACACAACAATCAATTCATGGTACCTACAACGACACTGGTTTGCATTAAACTGCCAGCGACAATTTATAGTTCGATCGTTGTGATCCTTTTGGAGCTAATCATCTTGCCTAATGCTGAACCAAGCGAGTTGTCTGCAGAGGTGCCAGTAAACGCAAATCACGTGATATGTGATCATCCAATCTTTTTCGTCCATACAGCAAGTAATACTGTCGCTTACACCCGTACCAGCCTTTTGCAAACACGTTTGTGCATTGACAAAGTCTTGAAATGCGTACGCTACGCTCGTGCGTGGTGTGTGTGTGAGTGACGTGATATGGAGGTGAGTTCGAGCTAGTGTTTGATATTACAAATGCATGGCATTACGACTTACAATCACTGCATGACCACCCCATGGATCTAAAGTGAACGCTGAATGTGGATGCCAACAAAATGCAATGTCACAACTAACGAAACACATAATCGTGTTCGCAATTTGCTAATCGCGCTCTAACTGGATGTGCTATTTCTTCGCGGTCGCAAGATGGTTACGATGCCACAAGTCACACTCGTTTGCTCGCACCTTAACCGAAAGGTAAATGGCTCAACGTAGTGATGTTTGTGCAGTTGTGCACTGCCTTGTACTGATCGAGAAAAAAAACTTACCGAATAAGGTGTGGTAAGATGTAAGAAACTACAGCGTTGAGAAAAAGAGGATTCTTTATAGCAAAAAGTAACAGACATGGCGGGTTTAGAAAGACAACGAAATGGAGACGAGCGAAGAAAAAAACACAAGTCGCTTGATCGATAGAATTTGCAAATTTGGTACGAGATGGGGTGTGCTCAAGTAATTGCACCACAAGCCAATGACAAAAATAGCATCCGGTGGCATGTGACAGATGTGTATCTTTTTGTTGCAATGATCTGATAACAGATAAACCTGACTAATCTGACCCTTGAGAAACATGATACCTTGCTGTGCATGATACACTGAAATGAACTACCATTTTCGTTCCGATATAGATGTATAGAGTATACTTGTTAGAGGGCAAAATTGATAGCTGGTCAATAATTTCGTCCGAAATTGAAATTTCCTGGACCGGAGTCTGAGTCAGTTGGCATTTCCTTCTGAAGAACTGGTCCAGCTGTAAATGCCGCCTCCGTGCGGTTTACAAATGCATCATTTTTGGAATTGGTTTGACAGCTAAACAAAATATGGGTGCGTTCTGTTGGCAGAAGGAGATACAACTAAACAGCTGTGAGTATCTGTGCGACGTATTGCACACAAGTAGGACTAAATAGTCTTTAAATATTAGGTACGCTTATAGTTCAAGCGGGTCGGTGTGGCACCATCGCCTCAGAGATCAATAAGTCAGATGCCACGAACTCAAACGCGACTAAGTTGCACCATTCGATAGTGGTGCATGGAGTCCACAAGCACTATCTACTGGACAGTGACGTTCCTCACTTTTATAATGTAGTCTACCAGGGAGAAAGAGATAAAAAGGAGACATATCGCAAGGAAAGGAAGCGAGACAATGACGAATGATAAAGATGATGGGGCCTGAAAGGTATACTATCCACATAGAAGGGGTAACCAGCTCAGACACCGAGAAGGTTTACCTCTGGTTCTCCTTCTTCGGCCACAAGCTTGGGTCTTCGCCTTTAGTTTTGCTCCCTCGTTCAAGTTGGAGCCGTTTACGGGACCAACTAAATTTATGGGCGTTCATGTAGAGGTGTACCTGGTATCGAAGGGACTATTGGAGGCTGTGAACTGTAGGTCAACAGTGTCGGCAATTATGAAGAATGAGGCGCAAGCAGCGATCGTGCTCAATCTGTGTGAACACATTCAAAAACGAAGGGTATCATGAATGAGATACCCTGACCGCTTGATTGTAGTATCAATATCATTGCATGGTTGGTCTCGCAGAGAAGTCTCCACGAAAAAGCGTCTGTATGCGTAATTTTCCTTTCTACCCTTGTTTCCTCGTGCGATCCTGCTGTAATGTAATGTATCGCCTCCATTAAAATCTATCTGAATCCAGATGACCACCTAGCAAAAAAATGATGACTCGGAAGGGTCTACATTTTATTCGTTGCTGACATCTGGCTGCGTGTTGACATCTCTTTCGCGTGTCTACTTCATCTTTTGAATGTCGCCGCTATCTTGGGCCATATTATGGAACCCAGCGTCCGCTACTTCGCTGAACAGTGTTTTGGAAGTCAGCACTTCCATATCGGTGTCGACCTCACCTGTAACGGGGCACCCTGAAGCTTGTACTGGTGACAGTACAAGCTACTTATTCTGATGACAGAATAAGGCGGTGCCTCGTAACTTCACGTACACTGGTACGTGCAGAGGAAGACGGTAAGAAGAAGCGAGTACTTGGTTAAAGTAAAAAGTAGAACTGTATTTATAATAGTTAATGTCTGCAATAAATCACTATTTATCTTCATCTAACTATGTCTAAATACAAATGTGTAAATCAATTATCTGCTCACCACTCATTGCGTGCGTCTGTCGTGGCGCGTCTTCGTTGGTTGATATAATGGCCTATATCAACCAATTAGGAACTACTCGTAAGTGCTACAGAATATTTGTCCTTATGACAATATTCTGAGAATATAACTCTTATAGTTATATTCTATTAACAATTTCTTATAAATTGTTATGTAACGATTCACCCCGTTACATCACCCCCCTTAACCATCAGTCACTTTAGTGACTGATTGACTAAATGGATACTCGTCCCAAATCATTTGGGACAGGGTTTGCACTTGTTGGTCCGCGTCCACTTTCCAACATTTCATCGCATGGTAAACAAGCCCATGCGATGCGCGAGCAAGGCCGCCGAGAGCGCGTCTGCACGTCTCTGTGCGGACGCCGAAGAAACTACAGCAACTGATGTCTCCCATCGGTTGCTGAATCGACTCCAGCCTGTGTCACTTGGTGATGCAGGCGCTGGTCATGAAGACACTCATGTCTTCACAGAGTACGAGCTCGGTGTCTCGTACTCTCCTGATACGGATGACGGATCCGTATCGACGGCGATTGAATCTAAGCCGCCTGCCAAGCGTGGCATGGACGATGCTTTGCGTCGCAGCATCTTTGGTTCATCTGATGAATCAGATGAACCATCGCCGAAGCGAAGGCGCTCGAGGTCGCGAGACTCGGGCGCTAATAGTGGTGTCGGTTCTCCTATTGGACACCACTTCACAGCGGGTGCCAGTACTTCTGTCGGCACGTCGCGGAGGAAGAGCGGGACCGCAATGTGTTGCGTCTCGCTCCAGAGAAAGAAGGCATGGATGCCTCCAAAGTCAGTCATGGATCACTTGTCGGCGACGACGAGTGATCGTTATCGAACACGGTTGTTCGATTCGTCAGAGATCCATCACCTTGACCCCAGCGCGAAAAACTATCGCGCTGAGCATGAAGTTCTTCATCGATGCTTTCTTCAGACATCGATGGTACAGTGGGAATCACAAACGTGATGGTCCCTCACTACTTCAGGCGTGGAACGCCTACATCCATAACCTCGAGGATGTAGGTCGTGACGCTTGGAACGACAAACTTATCAAAGCTCGTGATAAGTTTGAAAAGCGAACCCCGACAGGTGCACGCTACAAGCTGCATCGTCTGTCAAGGGAGAAAGGATTACCCTGCCTCTCTTGGGAGGGTACTCGTGCCCATGTTGTGTGAACAACTCTGCACGAGCACCTAAGGAGGGCTTACCTCCCTACCAGCCCGTGGTGGCGCGTACGTGTCTCTACTGAGATGTACGAAGGGATTGACAACCTGAAATCCCTTTACGACCGTGCCGGGAAGACTTTCTCCGGCGGTCCTTCTGCGGCACAGGATGTGCCGCGTCGTACTGCTCAACCAGACCCAGTACGTCGACCATCAGTTGGGGGCGGGGCTCCCAAGAATCCCAGGACGGGGGATAGCCGCGCCACCGGACGAGATAACTCGTCCGACGTCCGTTCACGTCGCGGTGGTTCAACAGCTGCTCAACTAGATGGCGCTGGCCACCGCGAGAGTCCTCTAATGGAGGTGGAGGGGAGGAGGGAAAGACGCTCTCCACACGATCATGTGGATCGGTGTGTTCCCGAGAGCTTCTTTGATCGCGTAACGCAAGGGTTACGCGACGATCTCGAACATGAGCGGAATAGGCGTCTCCAAATGGCGGACACTGCCTCGAAGCATCGAGCTGAGTTTGCCTTTGCTCAGCTTGAGAACGAGAGATCTCTGACATCTCTTCGTGACGAGCTAAGGGTAGCTCGTGGGATTGTTGATCGGTCTCGGGCTGAGATAGCTGCTCTTCAGACCCTTGTTGATGCCCACCATCGGGAGCACAAGGCTCTCTGCGAGATGCTTGAGCGCAAGGGCGTTCTTCATCGGAAGAAGCAGCGTACTGATGGTACGGCTTAAGCCGACCAACGTAAAACGTGGGATGCGTTCGCATCTTACGTGGTAACTCGATCGTGTATGCATTGCCTAGGCGGTGCAATACACGGAAATGGGCCAATGTACTTGGGTAGTAGTTTACTGCTACCCAAGTTGAGTCACTCCATCTTTGGTAGATTAACCGTAGACAGTAGGACTAAGTCACCTTTATTAAATAAAGAGTGTTTGCCCTTCCATTCTTGTCAGCGTTTTGCTTTTGCTTATCCACCGCTTCGGCGATGGAGTCTTGCACAAAACGGACTACCGTTTCACGAGCCAGTATGAACTCATCCTGATGACTCGTTAGCTTCAGTGTGCTGTCAGCGCACTGCAGCAACATCCCTTTTCTTCAGTGAGGGCTTCCGCACTCTCACTGGGATCATCTTCTTCAGTGAGGGCTTCCGCACTCTCACTGGCATCATCTTCTTCGATATCGATGTTATCGATATCGGCATCAAACGCAATGACTTCTTCGTCAGAGCGTGATGAGCGTGAACCAATTCGGTTTTTGCTCGCGCGAGTCCCTCCCCCCTTAAACCAGAGTTACACTCTAGTAAGGTGGGTACACGCGGATGGCGCAAGCCATTCACGTAAAACGGTGTATGTGTCGTGGACGCATGCACCGAGTTGTTGATGGCAAACTCTACCATTGGCAAAAACTCACTCCAACTCTTAAAGGAGTGTACGTATCCTCGAAGTATCTCTTCAAGGACACGGTTGGCACGTTCCGTCTGACCATCTGACTCTGGATGATCAGATGTTGACATCTTCAAGCGCGTTCCGAGTGATTTGAACACGGAACGCCAGAAATCAGCAGTGAATCGTGGATCTCTGTCTGATACGAGTTCACGGGGCAACCCATGAAGTCGGAAGATGGTGTCAATAAAGACACAAGCACAGCCACTTGCCGTGATTGTCTCTGGTACAGCCACAAGGTGTACCATTTTGCTGAATCTGTCAACAAATACGAGAATACCCGTATTCCCGCGTGCGTCTTTGGGTAACCCGAAGACGAAATCCGTGAGATGGATTCCCAGCACTCAGCCGGAACCGGTAGAGGCTGTAAAGGTGCACGCAGTGAAGGACTTGACTTCACTCGTTGGCAGACTTCGCATGCGCGAACATACTTTCGCACAAACTGATACTGGCGGGGCCAGTAAAAGTCTCGACTTACCGTGAGATATGTTTTCTCTCGGCCACGATGTCCTCCTATAGGAGCATCGTGATACTCGAACATGATCCGCAAACGCAGATCAGTATCATCTGGAATGACAACACGTGGTGTGTCACCAGAAACGGCTGTATAATACAGTAAACCGTTACGAGTAGTGTATCGATCTGATGCAGATCGATACGCAGACGACAATCGTTTCAACGATTCTCGAGATGGTTGGGAGAGATGTGTCAACAACTTCACTATCTCACCATCTTGGGCGTATGCCCGCCTCACATCATCATACAACGTTGTAGATGGGACTGAGGACGTCATAACCGCAACAGTGACTGTCTCACTGTTGGGTTTCGCGACTGTTTCAAAGTCGGGACGACGTGAGGAGTGCATCAGCGACGACATTAAGTCGTCCTGGTTTGTACTCGACCGTAAAGTTGTATTCTGCAAAGAATGACAACCACCGCGCCATTCGTTGTGAAAGGTGCGGGCTGTTCACTGCCGTGCGTAATGACGCATGGTCAGTGTAAACAATGAAGGGTCTATCTCCTAATAGATAGACTCTGAACTTCGCGAGTGCATACTTCATGGCAAGGAGTTCCTTGTCATGCACTGGATAGTTCCGCTCAGCTGGTTGCAGCTGACGCGACTGATAGCAGACGACGCGTTCAACGCCTTCAAGGTCGTACTGCATTAATGCACAGCCGATTGCGAAATCGCTGGCATCACAGACCACATGAAATGGCCTGTCCTGATCGGCTATTGCTAGGACTGGGGATTGTATCAAGCTCTGCTTGATACCCTCAAAAGGGCGTTGACATTCAGCGTTCCATAACCACCTCTCGTTCTTTTTCAACAAACGAGAGAGGTGCACAGTCATCTCGGCGTAATTGCGTGAATACTTATGCAAATACGCCCCCTAATGAGGAATTTTCGAAGACCTTTGACATCGACCGGCACAGGCCAGTCGGTGATCGCCTTGATCTTTTTCGGGATCAGGACGTACACCGTTCTTACCAACGATGCACCCAAGAAGTGGTATTTCGCTTGCTGCAAATATACACTTCTTGAGGTTGCATACAATTGATGCTTTCGCATGATTGTAAGAACTTGTCGGACGTGGTACCTGTGAACCTCAACGTCCGACTTTCCATCCATAGCTCGACTATGGATGAATACGTCATCGAAATAACTCGGCGCGAATTCTCGTACTGGTCTCAACAGATGTGATACACATCTGTTGAAACGTGGCAGGGGCATTACTGAGCCCTTGTGGCATTACTAGCCATTCCCAGAGCATGCCGCTAGGCGTGCTAACTGCGGTATAGGGTATATCCCGTTCCCGCATTAGGATTTGATAGAAGCCATCCATCAAATCCATGGACGAAAAGATGGTACTCTTTGACATACCATCAATGATTACGTCCTTCCTCGGTATCGGCGTCTGAGCCGGTACCGTTGCAGCGTTCAATTTGTTAAGAACGCGTGCACTATCCGCCACCCTCCTGTTGCTTTTCGCACACAGAAGGTCGGAGAGCTATGTGGGGAAGTTGATTCCCTCACATGGCCCGCTGCTAAACGATCGGCAAAGAACTTGTCGATCGCAAGTACTTGTTCACGAGGCAGTGGCCACTGCTTCATGACACAGTACTTCGAGCCTGGTTTAAGCTCGACTTCGTGTCGAATACCTTTATCCTTCGGTAATTCGCACGGAACAGTTTCAGGGAATACATCCTTGAATTCAACCAAATCTTCATGAGAGGATTTTCCTTGAGCGATTCCCATGATTGGGACTCATATCGCTCAATTCGTGTCTTTTCATCTAGGACACTCTCGTCCATAGATGAACTACTGAGAACTCTCTCGTTCTCAGTAAACACTGTTGCTGACCTTATGTCGGTTACACTCGTCGTCAGCGACGTAGTATGCGCAGATCTGCTTGACTTTGCCACTACGCAGATCACGCAAGAGCCTTTTATGTTCGAGCGTTGGCAACTGAGTGATCTCCGAAGTTAACTTCGGAGGCGCAATCAGATCAAGTGTATAAGCGCCTACACTTGATCCGTTATTGACTATGACATTCAATGTCTCTGTCATTTCCTGGGGACTTATTCCCTCAGGCTTCGAAGGACTTATTCCTTCGTCTTCCCGAGGACACTTATTCCCGCGGGTTTCAGGGGAACTTATTTCCGCCGTATTTGTAATCTTGGGACTTATTCCCTTTACTTCCTCTAGCTGGGGTTGCGCAACCACAGCGAGATCCTCTACGAAAGACTCTCCAGTCGATCTAGGATTATCGTTTCGCTTAACCTGAGCGATCGATTGTTTCTCTTCTAGATGTTCCCCTCTAGGGATACATCTTTGTCCCAGTCCACCCGACTTATTCGAGTGGTGGACCTTCGGCGCAGCCTGTGTTTCCTCACAGCCGCCGGAACTTTGCTCGAAGTGTAACCGTTTGGTACACTAAGGTTTTGTGCAGTCGTACTAACGACCGTACCACAAGTGAGGCCATCGCACTCACTCGTAGTACATCCACACGCTTGTGGACGCTCCAAAACGTTCATCAGATGGCCATCTGATGAACAAGCGGCAGAGCATCGTTACTGTCCGATGTTGCCAGTTTACCCGTGGTTCGTACCTTCTGAGCCACGGTATTCCAAGGATGACATCAAATTTGTCATCCAAATCCAATACGATAAAGTCATCGTCATATTGGGTATCTTCTAGCGTATAGTGGATCTTCACTATACGCTTCATGATTTCGATTACGGATGCGCCTGTCGCAAGACGTACCGTCATCCTCGTAAGGAGGTGTGTCACATTCACTGAATTTAAAGTGACCATCTTCTAGCGATTGGCGTCGCACAAAATTGTTGGACGCCCCACAATCGACTAGAGCTCGAAGGGACAACTTATTCGTCACTTCGAGTTTCAAGGTAATGAGTGAGATCTCATTACCTAGAGCAGCAACGCACAATGTTTGTGTGTTGGGAGCAACCTTCATCAAGAGGCCTACAAATTCTCTTGACGTTGCTGGATCAGTAGGGTGCTCCGCACCTACTGATCCTGTCCGTTTTTGACGGTCCATCCCGTTGTTGCGTCTTTGCACCAACTGCGGACCCTCGTCCCTGCCCCTTTCTCATGGGTGGACGGTCACTACGCCCAGTGTCGCGAGACACTGGACGAGGGAGCACTACACTCGTAAGCGTAGTGTCCTGTCTTTTGACATCTGTTGCATCTCTGCAACTTCTTGTAGCCTGTAGAGCGAGCCTTCTCGCTCTCTACATAACAGAGTTCCATCGGCTCTGGACCTCCGTTGTCATATCGTCTCGGTTGACGATATGATGTCGAGCTGGCGCGAGCCTGTCTCGGACTGAAGTCTTCCTGCTCCGCAATGGAAATGGCTTGTTCTAGTGAATCTAGTTCAAGCCGGAACAGGTGAGTCTTGACGGGACCATCCGCAAGACCCTGCATGAACACCGAAACCAACGTGTGTTCATCCACCGGATTGGAACTTATACAACTCGTGAGATGTCGTATATGTTGAGCGTAAGCGTGCACATCACGCTTACCCTGCTTGAGCTTCAAGAGTTCGGTTCGAGCTCTGAACTCAGCTCTAGGCGGTTCAAACGTTTGTCTGAGCCGCGACTTGAAGACTTCTTCCAACGACCCAAACGCATATGGGTCGTGCAGCTTGAGCCCCAGTGCCCAAGTCTTGGCACGTCCTGCCAGATTTGACTGGGCAAATGCAACTTAGCATATCCCCGTCGTCGATGCGACGCGCCCTTATGGCGTCATCCAATTCGACGAACCATCT